ACTCTAATATGTCTTCTATTTGATTCCAAAGCTTAGACATCCATCCAAAATATCCTTTCATTCACCTTTTTACCTTCCAACCTTCTAGATTGTTCCTTAAAGAACTCTACTTTTTCTTATGGTATTTTTATCATCTGTACCATATTGCTTTTGAGTTTCCCACTGATTTCTTTCTTTCTAGATTTATCCGGACTTCTTGGCTGGTAGATTCTTGGTACTACACTCTTAAATTCCTCACTTGGTTTCACAACCCTATACAATAGATCTCTTTTCTTCAACGAGAAAAATCCCAATAGCCCCATCCAAAAACTTGCTGGATTGAAATACATCACATTCCCCTTCGTAATAAATTTGTTAAGCAAGTTTTTACCTATTTGTTCTCTATTTTCATATTTCATTGCCCCTTCAAAGCTTCAACAGACAATTTGGTTATGATTTTTTCACAGGCAGCAGTATACAAAACTCATTCATACTCTCTATATAAAAAACTCTTATATCACCTCCCGAATATTAGGACCTTACAAAAAATAGTATGCCTTAAGAACAACATTATTCTTGATGAACTAGGGACTAAAGGAACATATCCTGATGAAAAAATGGACTATGATTTGTATGACCCTCAATATTCTACTCATCTCCATGACTTATAGATGTAGTACAAAAACAAAAAACTAAAGCAGATGATTTTGGGCATCCCACAACTCCTGGAACCACATGAGCTAGAAATGCTTGCAGATGATGACTATGTGTTGGTCCTACAAGTCCAAACTATTTGTAATCAAGATAACCTATTATATCATAATCTCTCTTCAGATCATGAACTTATTATCGGTTGATATTAGTATTAGCTCGTCACTTGTATCTTGTCATTTATGCATTATTAAGTGTGCTTTAGTGTTTTCTGATGTCATGAGTCATGAAAGCAAAAGCTTTAAAATTAGTATAAACAGAGGCTAGATGTAATTTTATAAGACAAAACCTTGAAAGGGTAAAGCTCAATGAGAAGTATCTTTAATAAAAAACTTTGTTTTTCTAAATTTTTATTTTTAAAAAATTTTACACTTAAAATCTAAAAGTTTTTGTTATCATTCAATAAGACATGACTCCAATAGATAGCTGTTAAAGTGCCTATAAAGATAGTCTATGAAGCTGCTATGTTAGAGTATTTTGTCTAACAATTGACTTGGTTGTCTTATGGGCAAAATTTGACAAAGCAAAGGAGGAAGTGAATTCTTCGCTGGCCCTGCTGCTGGTTATATAAATTTGAATTTGAACGGTAGCAAAACCAGTCTGCTTTCTGTGGCCACTTTTATGGCGATTTCTTGGTATGTTGGCAGAAGAGGAGCAAGGAAAAAGGAACCATGCTAGCTTCTGCAATTCTTTTTGCAGCCATTGTCTTTTCGATTTCTTCAATAGACCTGAAGTGGGCGGAAGAAATTCTCTAACGTGTTGCGTGGTGTAGAAAAGACCTTCGATTACGTAGTTCAAGCAAATCTTCAAGGTTGATAAAAATAAAAAATAAAAAAGATGCAGATCCTCAAACCCGAAGAAAATGAAAAATAACAGTAGTCATTATCCTTGTGCCGAATCTTAGTTCCAGCAAATTGCTAGTCTTTATTGTTTTGATGATAAAATTATAATATTTAATATAATATTTTTTTAATTATTAATTGAAATATAATTAGAGTTTTGTAATCAATTTAAATCCTTTGTAATCTATTTTATATATAATTTATACATAATAAAATATTAAGCAATAATTGTTTTTTTTTTAAAAGAGGGTGAAAAAATGATAAGGAGTGTTTTTGTAATTATAATATTTAATATAATAATTTTTTAATGTATATATTTTTTTAAAATTAACATGGGTGTCCCGGCCAGCTTGCGCGTACCACGACTAATCTCACGGGCCCTGAAGTTAACGACCATGTAAACCTCCCGTGGCTATCATATGAGCAACTAAGGACTCGAATCTGAGATTACAAAGAGAACAAACCCCTTAGTCCCAAGTTTTTATCATTTGACCACCGCCTAAATAGTTTTTTTTTTTTTTAAATGTATACTTTGAAGGAAGAGAGAGAGAGAGAGAGAGTGACAAGGAGTGTTTTTGTAATTATCAGGGCAAAAAAAAAACACAACTGCAAGAACGATATATAGGGACGACGTCGGTTAGGACTACATAAACCTGAAAACCTTTCTTCTTACCTCATCTCCAAGACAAAACTCTCGCACTTGTTTCTCAGTTTGCTTTAAGATTATTCGATTTTATCATCAGCTCTCAATCAATGTTAGTTATTTCCCTTTTAGTCTTTAATCTAAGCTAAAACTGCTCTAAGTTAGTGCTTGACAAAATCAAAGAATTTCACTAAATATTCTAGTTTTTGTTGTTAAAGGAGGAATTCAGTGAATCGGCCACCAACACCAGATGATACAGCGGAGGAGGAGGAGAAACAACCGACCCTTCATGAAACAATTAATATTAAGGTTCTCTTTTCTTGATGGGGTTTTGTTTTTTATTTATTTCTTATGATGATGGCTTGGGTTTAATTTGATTGGTTGTGTTAGTTAATTGAGAGTGGAGAGAAGGAAAGATTAACGGAGCTTTTAAGAGAGAGGCTTATTGAGTGTGGATGGAAAGATGAAATGAAAGCTCTTTGCAGGTTTTCACTGCTCTCTCTCCTTTTAATTTCATTGCTTTTTTTTTGTGTGTTTTAATTATCTGTGTCTTCTTCCTCTTCTTCTTTTTGTTGGTTTATAGTATTTCATGTGAATAACAGTAGTAGGGATTTCAGCAATATCAGTTTTTGAAAAACTAGGAGAAATACAATGAAAATGAATGCAATGACACTACTTTTCATTCTAATAAATCCTTTGAGGGACAGATGAGCCGTTTATTCTTCTTCTTGTGTCCAAATCTAGAACTCAATCCTTCTTGTTAGGACTTGTAAATAAAGCTTGCGATTGTGTTCATATTTGACATGACAAGCACGGGGATCGATTCCACGTAGAGGGAGGAGTGAATTTTGGCAAATCACTTGCCAGCTACAGAATATAGCAATTTTGAAGAGTGACTTTTGGTGAAACAGGAGTTTTTTTTTCTTTTATTTTTTTTAATGGAATAAACTGAGATGGTATCACCATTACCCATCAGTTTGGTAGAGGAGGATCCTATTCTCCAGACTCTGGTGTTCTTGGGTAGATGAATATTCTGCATTCATGATATCCAATCCAGTTAGTGATATTTCTATGAATAATGTGGTCCAAGTCCTGGTGTTTTATGAGGGCTTCTATATGGAAAAATCATAAGATGCAATGGAAGATCTTGTTCACCAAGTTATGATGGAGCTGATGCAGAGTGTGTACTAGAGGTTCTCCCATCTCCTTCTAAGGTTCTATGGTTTTTTGTAATTGTCTGAGGCTTGCTAATATGAAAGTAGGAATTGGATGAGTAAAAGGCTGAGCCAGCCACTTCTGATGTTTCTAGAGCGCTAGGATTTATGTTCCTGATCAATGGAAACTTCCTCAAGGAAATGCTTTGGATAGTGATGCAGCTAGTTTTTGGTTGAATGGGTGGAGCTCTCTGTCAGGAAATCTGTGCCCTCCATGAATTTTGGAAGTGCATGACAAGAGGAGAGATTATGAAAGATATGCTTTCTTTAGCTGTAGGACATTGTATTAGAATCCTTACTTTTTAGGCCTGTTTAGACTTTTTGGCAGCCGCAAATTTTTTTCCTGGCCCATTTTCTTGCCTTATTTATGGATAGTTTGGCCTATTTTCCTTGCAATATTGTTTGGCATCATTTTCTCCATTCTAAATCTCTGTCGATGTCATTGTGTTGTAGGGCATTTATAAAGAAGAAAGGAAGGAACAATGTTACCGTGGATGACCTTGTACATGTAATTACACCCAAGGGCAGAGGTGGGATCTTCTGTTTCTGAAGTTTATCTTCTGTTTTCTGCTCTGGATAATTTATTAGTTCATCTGCTAGTTGCTGGAATTCAGATGTAAAATTTGGCAACTGCTTAAAATTTGAAAATGAATTCGATTGCCTTGACTTGATTTTCATATCTACATGTTCATTATGGTTCAACGCACCTTACATTTTGTGCTGATGAATTGTTTTTCCCAGTTCAGTTAGGAATTTCGCAGTTTTAGTTCATTTTTCTTTTTTACCTCTTGGTTTATATCATCTTTATCAAGTCTGAAAATTTTGTACCTTTATACCTGCAGTCTTGATTCCTGATTCTGTAAAGGCCGAGCTGTTGCAGAGAATCCGTTCTTTTCTTGTTCAAGCTGCTGTTTGATACGCCAGTCCAATTTCCTAAATTATGTAGTAGTAGGAAAGCTGATGTTGATGAATGGGATGGAAGCTTTGTTTACCATTGTTTTGTCGAGGTCTCTTGCAAAGTGGAGGCAGCTAAGATTTACTTTAAACATATGCATTTTGCAAAACGAAGGGAATGGGATATCAGTTTTGTGCTTCAGGCTTGAATGAAGGCTCATCATCTTATAGCCTTTAACCATAGGACCCGAAGATTACTCTGGCACTTGTGATGTTTGACAATATAAATATTTACGTGTAGACTATTCTGTTATTTTTGCGTGCCATACTGTGCTGCCATTTTCAAAACGAAACTATTTGGCTAGGAAGATTTGGAATTCAATATCTTGAGATGGATTTGTGCCTCATTCAGTTTTGAGTTTATCTATCATGTCACCAACCCAGATCCATTCAGTATCTCTGAGAGAGAGAACTCGTACGCATAAGCTTAAAATTCCCAAGGTCAGCTGCAGCATGCACCCTGCTCATGCTGCAACTGAGAGCCGATTGCCAGACAAGTTACGTTTTTACTTTCAACACTCTAGGGCTACACTTCTATCTCGCACCATGACACGCACCATCAACATAGCACCACATAGCAGGGCGTGAAAAATTTATATGTAAGGTTGGTTCAGTTATATTCTGCATTTGCCAAGGAGCAACAAAGACCCAGGTGGAGGATTCGACATCTGAAAAGTTTTTAAGAACTCCGCATAGATGCTAGACAACACACAAGGCAACTGTCATACACTCGGTTTGCATACAGAAAATGAAGACCCATCAGGGATGTCTCCTCCTGTTCGCCATTACAATAAAAGCTATCGTTCTCTTTTACAACTTCAAGTCTGTCTATAGTGTTATAGTATCATAATAAACACAACGCCCATGCTAAACAACCATCTTCACAAGACAAATGTATTTATTCAGCAGGTTCACATGTCATCCATGCCTTTCCCGAGAAGATTTCACCCAACCAGACTTCAACCCCCAAGCTTGCGCTCTATGGGAAATCTGTGAAAAGCAGAAGCTGACATTCACCACAAAGCCTAACATCATTTCCATATTATGGAAGTTTGCTTAAGCCAGAGAGCCTGCTTGCTCACAAAGGTCTAATAGATCCAGAGTCTGCAAAACATCATAATAGAATTCATGAGCATTGGAGAACTGAAAATCAATTTGTGTCAAACGAAACATTCAAGCAGAGGTTAGAGGACAAAGACACCAAAGTTTTAACTGATGATCATACCTCAGGAACCGAGAGCTCAAGGCGAAATTTGGGACCGTCATAATGATGCAAAACCGGCCTAAAAGCATCCTCATCCAGTGCCTTGTAGAGTTTTCTAATTCGGGTCCTCACCTATTTATTAATCACCCGAATGAAGATTAAATAAAAGAAAAGGAAATGAAACAAATAGGATTCCAGATAAATCAACTAAGTTATTCAAAATCCATATTAGGAATCCAATTTTTACCTGGGCAGGAAACCTTGACTCTCCTTTGCACTTTTTGTCTTCCCACGCAGTTGGGTCAATGTTGGATCCCCCAAAACTTGCTGCCTGTATACGACCAATTTGGGAAAGATAAGTTCTCGGTATTAGTAAAATAATCAGTACAGTACAGCACAGCACAGCACACTTTGGCCATTTCACCGCAGTAAATGCAGAGATAACTAATACTGGATTCAAAGAGGCTATCAAACAAACAGGCAAGGCAAAAAGGAACACCCAGATCAGACCTGGAACACTCTTGATAGTGTAAAGCATCATAGAGAAAACCATAGCAAGTTAAATGGATAAAAGTATGAGAACATACCTCAAAAATGCCATGCAGCTGGTGAGTAGTGTAATTATAGAGGAAGAGAGGTAAGCCAGGTGTTATTGCCCGGACAGAATCCCTATATCTTGGTGGTAAACCTACCAATGTGCAACAACCATTAGGTAAGACTTCGATAATATTGTTAAAAATGGCATACCTCAAGATGATATGAACACTAGTATTTACAGAGTTCAATGGAAAACTTTAGAGCTTGAAAAGTCATTTTTTTAATGATCATCGATTGGAATCCCATTGTCAAACTCGAACAACAAAAAAAAAAATCTCTCCTACTGAAGACTTGTGACATATAATGGTTTCCCATTTCAATGTTTTGACCTAGAGGAAAATTTGCATTCATACTTCCCAATATTATAAAAGATATTGCATGAATTGTGGCCATCAAACAATTTTAAGTTACTTAAAGCATCAATGGAAAACTAACAAGAAAACCAGGGGGGGTAAGAAATTACCAAAAAGCTGTCGCTTCAAATCTTCCTGCATGGTGTCATTGTTACAGACAAAGATGTATCCTCCAAGCACCTCATTCCTTGGAAGCATCTCTGTGGCAGGCAAGGTCTTAAACCTTTTGTCAACTGCATTGTTGTTGTCGTTGTTAATATTAATATTGCTGTGGTTACTGGCCTCTTTGCTAATAAGGCTGTTGCCACTGTACTTGCTACCAGTCAGATCTCCAATGCTGTTCATGTTGTTTTTCCGGTACACTGCATTCATGTTGTAAGCACTGTTCCTTAGGGAACTTTTGTTCACATTTTCTGTCATCTTGGAGTCCAAGTTCATCATGTTGAAATTGAAACTTTCAAATTTATTTTCTTGGAACCCAAGCTTATCCCTTGGCCGCATTTCTGGAAGGCCCTTTGAAAGGTCCAGGTTATTCATACGCTCACCCTTTGCCTGGGTTTGCTCAGCCAATTTAGACGCAGCCACCAACCACTTATGATCCTCTGAGACTTTTGATTGTCCTCGAAGCTCATCACCCAGTTGCCAGAAGCTGTGCAGGCTTTCCATCTTGCAAATCCTGATGAGATGTCACACAAGCTAGATACTTGTTAGAAAATATATATTGAAATATAAGGAGGAGAAAACTGGATCAGAGGAAAAGGCAACAGAATTAGATCACAGTCCAAGTGTATAAAATAAAGCCATTGCTGCACGAAACAAACCAGTATTAAATTTAAGTGAAGAGCATCAGCAAGCAATCCTATCAACTTGCAAAGCCCAATGTGACAGGATAAACCAACCCCATTGATTCTACACATGTTCTTTTTCAAAGTTGACTACTATAAATTCCAACACTAAAGAGAAGTCCGTGAGGTAACCATGTATAACATTTATTGAAAGAAGTAATAACTGCCACCAGTATTACTTAGAACGAAGCACATCTTTTAAACCCCCACCCCTCGAAAATAAAAAACAATGAAGAAAAATGGTTGCCAGCAGTATTTATCAAGCAAAACCCACAGTACTTAAGTGAAAAACTTGCAATTAACTCATTTCAATCATTGTTTTGTGAACGAATTTTTTAAAAAGAACATGCCTCTTTTCTTTATTCCCGGTTAAATGTTCATTTTTGAGAAAAATGATTAGAAACCACTTCTCTAGAAAAGCAATTCCAGACAAACATTCTAAACAATTCCAACTGGGTATTCAATTCCTGGTATCTGTTAACAGAACCAAGCACGATCATTTAATTCCCATCACTTCTATGCTATGGAAAAGCAGACGACGAAATTTATAACAGAACAAACTAAAAATCGCTTAGATTTTGAGACAATCTCAAAGAATTATTTTCAACTGTCAGCACAACTCACAAGGCAAAAACTCTAACAACACAGCACATCCAAAAAACCAAAACCACATTGACCAAGAAAAAGAACAAAAAATCAAGTCATAACAACCAACAAGAAAATACAACACAGATTCCTTTTTCCGCAACATTTCTCAAAACCAAACAGCACTTGAGCACAAAAAAGGAAATAAAAACAAGAAGTCCAGGCCAAACCCTTAATTCAAGTCTTTAAAACCAGTAACTAGCTCATAAATAACCAAAACCACGCCCCAAATCTAGCCATAACATTAACTAAATTACCTTTTAAAAAATAAAAAATAAAACAACTTTATCCAACCAAAATCAAAACCCAAAACCCACATTCAATCCAAGAATCCAGTCAAAAGAAGTGAAAAAAAAATATAAACACAAGCTAACTAAAAGCTTGAATTTTTACCTAAAACAAGACCATTATCAATTAAATTACCAAACAAAAAAACACGAAAAGCAAACAACTTTACTTAACAAAACTAAAACCCACTTTTAAAACCAACCAAGGAACCCAAAGAAAAAACTAAAAACACGGATTAAGTCAAAAGCTTCAATTTTTACCCTTGAAAAATAAAAAATAGAGACCAGAGAAGCAAGCTTGGTTTAGAAGCTGAAATGAAGGAGTGGAAGCTTGATTAAAGAGTAAATAGTTACATGATGTTAGCAGATCAAAAGGAACCCTAGATTTGAGGATCCAAAGAGAGAGACAGAGGGAAACAGTACCTTATTTTCTTTTGTCTGCTTTTAACTGTGAAACCCACCAGACACGATACAGTGAATGTGTGTTGGAGAGAGAGAGATAGACGTCGAGTGGATTTTTATTTTTGTATTTATAGCTTGGTATTCCAAAAATGCCATTCTCATGTTTGTGTAATTGCGGTGGCGCCACCGTGGAATTTTGAATGTTTTTGTGAGAGTGAGAACGGGTTTGAAAATTGTTACCAGCGGTGTTTCCAGGGACATTAAATTATTAGGAATAAGATTTGAATTATTTTTTTGTATTTTTTGTATTTTTTAATAAATTAAAATTAAAAATAAATTTTAAAAATTATATTATTTTAATATATTTTAAATAAAAATTATTTTAAAATACACATTTTATCACATTTTTAAATAAACATGTAATCGTGATTTTACTTTGTAAATACTTAATGCTTTTATGCATAAAAGGAGTGTTTGTTTATATTGTTATATCTATATTTTATTTAAAACGTAAATGCAATAATATCTAATAAAAAAATATAAATTATTATTTATAAATTCTATCAAATTATATATTTGAAACGCATAGAAAACGAAAGCAAAATAAACTAACTAAAATTTTAAATAAAATTTAAATGAATTGTTATTAAAAATTTAATGTGTGTTTTGTTATATCGGTGTAATATCTATTTTAAAAGTAATTTTACTTCAAAATACAATGAAATATTTTTTTTTAACATTATTATAACAAAAAAAAATCATTTGATGTTTTTTTAAAATAAATAGGCTTTTAAAAAGCATAAAAAAGAAAGTTATCACTCCAAAAAAAAAAAACCTTAACATCAATTTCTAATTGCTTTGTTCATGAAAATTTAAAACAAAATGAGTCTAGAATGTAATTATATTACATTGATTTTTTTTAATTTTGTTGATTAATAATAATAGTGAATTTTCAAGAATAGTTGTTTTTATTTTTAAAGCATTTTTTTTAATTTCAATCTTTAGTTTTCAGATGTATTAGAATATGAATTTAAGTGCTGGCTTAATAACAATATAGCAATCTATTTAATTTCTTACTTAAGAAATACATCATGAAATTTATAATGAAAAGAAATAAACAAGTAATATACATGTGTGCGCATCTTTTATTATATCTACACTTGATATAATAAAATAAGTGAAAATTAAGCTATATTCTTATTTATAAATTCTTTAAATGAGTTAAGTTTAACAGAATGTAATAAAATTTACACGAGTAATTACATCATTTTGGCTTTACGCATAAAGAAGAAGAAGATGCCTTTATATGTTACAATGCAATGCAAAAATACCAGCAACATGTAAGAAGCTGCCCCTTTTTTCTTTTTTCTTTTTTCTTTTTTCTTTTTTCTTTTTTAAGTAAAGATTCGTGACTAATTAGGATTTTTTTTTTATCTTTTAAAATTAGTCCTATAAATTATGAAAATAAATCTAAAATAAAAAACTTTTCACCCTCCATGCAATAAATGCAACTGTGCAAAAGGAGTTAAGATTATCGTGATTAAGAATATAATTATAGTTATTTTTTAAAATATTTTATTTTAAAAAAATATATTAATAATATTTTTTATTTTTTTAAAATTATTTTTAAAATCAGTATATTAAATAATTTAAAAGTATCAAAAATATATTAATTTAAAAAAATCAAATTTTCTTAAAAATATTTTTAAACCCAGCCGCAAATCAAATTTTTTTAAAAATATTTTTAAACCCAGCCTTTAAATCCTAAGCTAGACTGCAAAAACTATTAAAAATTTTGTTTAAAATTAATTTTATTTTTATGTTTCTTTAATATATTAATATAAAAATATTTTTTAATATATTTTTAAATAAATACATTTTAAAAATAAATGATACCAGAAAACATCACCATAACTATACACACCTGTCACTGTTGAATTCACGAGTGACAAAAATTAAGTGGTGCCGGTGTGACCAATTTTGTACAGTTGGCAAAAATGATGTCATGGATGACGTTTCTATGTCCTCTTGCATCATGCTTCAATCAAAGCAAAAGCACGTTCAAACTAGCTATTTTACCGGTCGCGAGTTCGAATAATTTTGTTTTTCAGTTAAAAAAATAAATATATAAATTTTTTTAATGTGTTTTTTTTTCATAAAAACTTTTTAATAAGAAAAAATTTATACATACATCTAATTTAATAAATTAATAATTATTCATGTTTATAAAATATATAAAAATATTAATAAAAAATAAAAAATAAATTTAAAAAAATAAAAAATAGATACAAATCAAAATATTTAAATTATCAAGAATCAAGTTGTACTTATTTGTTTTTATATTTTAAAATTATTTTAAAAAAATAATTATTTTAAATTAATTATTTTTTTAGTTTTTTTAAGGTTGTTTTAATGAGTTAATGTCAAGGATATTAAAAAAAAAACATTATTTTTATACATTTACAAGCAAAAAACACTTTAAACAACAATTATTACCACAATATCAAATAAACACTTAATCAATTAACTTAATTTAATTAAAAAAAGATATCTCTAAAAATAAAAAATTTTAAAAATAACAATAAATAAAAAAACTCAAGATAACTTGGATTTTTTTTAAAATCAACAAAAAAATCATATAAAGAAATTAACAAGGTTCAATCTCTAATTAAATAAATACTAAAGAATAAAACTAGAAAAAAAACATGAGTTTAAACAAGAAAAAACAATTAAGCAAACTCATGTGAACTTTTTAAACTTGAGTTCATCTCTAAAATTTATAACTCGTCAAATTCTATAAAACTCAATTCCAAATAATTTAATATTGAAAGATAAACAAAAATAAATCATTTTTTTTAAATAGTCAAAGTAAAAAAATTAAAAATAAAAAGAATAAGAATCAAGTATGATAGGAAAAAAATTTAAGGAGGATAAAATTGTAACAAAAAATTAATTTAAAACTTTATATTAATTCAAAAAATAGTAATTAAAAGAAAAAAAATGAATTTTTAAAAATAATATATAAATTATTCCAAATAAAACAAATAATAAAAAAAACTACATTATCACCGAATTGAATAATTATTAGCCATATGTGTCACGTCTTATAACATAGAGAATATTAAGATAATTTAAATGTTATCATAAAAAATAATATTTAAAAAACAAATGACCATGCACATATCACCTAAATGACGTTAAGACCACCAATATATCAACCATATTTTTAAATATTTTTATATTAATTATATTATAAAATTACCCTAAATCAACCTAAAAATAAAACCAATTAAAATATTAAAATACCCTCACATGCAAGCCAAAGAAAATTCTAACTTCTATAGGAATATTTATGTTTTTTTTATTGTACTTGACAAATTAAAAATATAAAAACGGAATCAGCTTTTTAAAAACAAAATTAAGAATAAAGGTATGGTAGTCATTTTATTATTCATAAAAAAATACAAAAAAAACCTATTTATCCTCCATGAATATGGTAATACCTAGTGAATCCCTATGAAAAGACTATACTACTCTAATAGCTTATTATAATTTGCACAGGATCTCATTGTCCTCCACAATATCCTCTAATTTTTTTTTATTTGGTTAATTGTAGATCATAATCTCCCATGTATATTATATGTATAATTGCAATCCTAAAAATTAAATTGGATGATTAAAAAAATTAATTTTATCTTGTTTAAGTTTAGTGATTAATATTCTAAATATATTAGATCAATGTGATGAATATGTTTTTAAAATTAAAAAAATAATATCAATTAATATACAAGCTGTTAAAAAATAGTTACATTTTAATTCAAAAAAAATAATTAATAATTGGTTTTAAATATAAAAAATTATAAAAAATCTAAGGTTGCTCGATGATTTATTATGGAGTTAGAATCATTGCATTATAGATTGTTATAATATAATGATAATTTTATCCTTTACAATACATGTCAAAAAACAAAAAACTAAAAAACAAAATGATCATATCACTTGATTCAATCGGCATAACCAACTTAAATAGAGGTAAGCTGGTTTTTTCATATTTTTTGTTGAACAATAGAATAATTAATTTATCTTTTAAATAAAAAAATTAATTGGAGGCAAGGGGTTTTTTATTTTTCATCCTTTTTCACAACATAATTACCTAATTTCCCTTGTATTTTATTTCCTTTGACTTGATTATAAAGTGCTTTCATCATTTTATTATGTTTTTTTATATATAATTATCAAATAATTAATATATATAAAAATATATTTAAAAATAAAACATTGGTGACGTATGGAAGGAGTCTATGAGCAGTGCTTACGGGCTTCTTTGTCGGCCAAACACTGCCTTCTATGATGGCTTTAAAAATGGTATGCCAAGGGCTTGTTAGTGATGGGGTGTGTATTGATGAATAACTCATAATGTAACTCTGATGAATTTTTTTTTCTTCTTTTTTTCTCTCTTTCTCTTTCTCTTCTTCTTTGTAGTATACAAAAGTTTTCATTTATTTATTTTTTATTTATAATTTGATCCTCATTTTTTATCACTTTTTATCATTTCATTTCATTTAATTTTTATTTTAAATTTAGTTTTTATTCTTTTAATTATTATTTATTTTTTTACCCTTTTTTAAATGAATTTTGTTTTCAATTTTATTTCTCAACATTTTATTTCAATTTATTTTTATATCAAGTTTTGTCCACTTTATTTTTATTACTATTTATTTTTTTTTAGATCTTTTTTTATGTTATTTTTTGTTTTTTCCCTTAAATCCATCCCTCATTATTTTGTTATTGAAAATTTTACTTCATTACTTTTAGGGTTTTTCTATAGAATTAGTCTCAGTATATGGTTAAGGTCGTCGGTTTTGAATATTAATATGATTTAATTTTAGTTTTTTTTTTAAATCTCATTTTTTAAGATTTGATTTACTAGGAATTAGTCTTTTCACTTTATTTTTACATTTTTTATAGGGCGGTTCCAATCCTATACCCATAATTGCGGGATCAATTAATTAAGCTAGGTTAAATTAGAACTTTTTTTTTGTTATTTTTTAAATAATTTTCTTTTTTATTTTCTCTCTTTAACATTGAATTATTTGATAATCAAGTTTCATTAAAAAAATTTTAAAAA